AAGAAAATGTTCTAGCCGAAGCATCAGGGGAGAGACCAGCCGGCCCCCAGACCATATCGGCTAATCCCTTGCATCTCTGCCACGCACGGAATCGGATGATAAAATACTGTTAAAAAGTCTAGTCTATTCGGTGCATTGTTTTCATGGCTATTATTATGCTGATTCACTTGGAACCGTGGTCCAGTGGGAAAACCTTGGGCTTCCAAGATACTGAGTCAAGCCCGACTGAGGAGGTTTAGTACCTGGATGGGTGACCTAAACATTATTCCTACTCACATTTGTGATCTTAAATTTTTTTTCTTCGTTGAAAGGGCAACAGAACCAAATATATAACTTCGCTCGCAAGTCGTTACAGACCACTTCCTGTCTATCCAAATTCTCGGAGCCAATCTCGTTTCTGTCAAGGGAGATCGATTTTAATAGTAGGAAAATACATCTAAAAAAATCAAGAAAAAGAAAGAGAAAAAAAACCAAAACGCTCGTTTTCAAAATTTTATACCTCAAACAACATTCTTACAAAAATACGATGGTAAATATTAATTTTTTAGAATTATTTTTTCAATGGAAAAAAAGTTTAAACGCGCGCATTTTAGCAGATATCTTTGATCAGATTAATCGTAAAGATGAATTTTTTGCGTTAATTTTAATAGTATAGCAAGTAAAAATTCGAATTTTTAAAACCTAATTATTTTACGGATACGAGTTGCGTCCACACGTGTCCGCAAATTTTTGTGTCCGTATCCGTACGAAAACGGATACGTGTGGACGGTGAGACGATTTGAATACGTTGCGTATGGACGCAAACACTTTCGTATCCGAAAAAAAAAAAAAAATTTGCGGATACAAAAATTTGCGGATACAAAAATTTCCGAATACGAATGGACGGGGCCTAAGTAGATATACACAATTTCGCTATCTTATTCCTTTGTTTGCCCTGGATTGTCAATCAATGAATCAACATTAGTATCACGTGAATAAGGTTCTTTGTTTGGGTTAAGCTGAGTTGTATCTATATTCATGGGTCTTCTCGTGCGACACCGCTAAACTCTCTATGCTCAAGAGAATACAAGAGAAGACATACAATGTTGAATAATCATGATTTCAAGTTTTTCCAATAATTTTTTTTCCTTCATCATTTCATTTGCCTTACTTGAATATTATTCGTGTCATTTTAAGATTAAATTCAAATCATTTTCATTCTTATTTGTTTTTTGTTTTAATTCAATAACTATTTCATTCCATTTTCATTTACTATTATTCAGATTATTATTATTATTATTATTATTATTATTATTATTTATCATATAATTATCCATAAAATACCTATATTTCTCCTTTTCGAAAAACTGATATTTTCACATGTGAAAATAACATGTTATTTCACATGTGAAAATATCGTTTCCATGTGTATTTAAGCTATTAGTTTATAAATAAAAACTTTTTATAATAATAAAAAGCTTGTTAAGTTGATTTTATGGATAATTATATAATAAACAGAATATTACATGGGCGCTTGGAGATACGAAATTTATCTTCTCGTGTTGAAAATCACTCACTCGTTCGCTGTGAAGATAAAATTCGTGTCTCCGCGCGCTCATGTAATATCCTCTATTTATTCACTTGCGCCATCCATGCAGTCGGTTTAGAATGCCAAACGCGTATTAAAAACAGTGGATGATGCCACGGGTCGCCGGTCACAGCATGCATCTAATTAACGTACTTCCCATGTGCCATTTTGGTCTCAGTTACTATGTTCTATGTTTCTGAACTCGACAACGATTCTTCAATTGAGTGTATGTTTTTCATTTAATCTTTCATCAAACGTTATAACTTATTTTAATTTTTTAAAATACTTTTTTCCATTCGGTATTAAGTGTCAATGCAAAGTATACACTTGTTCACTTGCCCGTCTTCCCTTTCTTCTTACATTCAAGAACGCGACAATTTTGCTGCATCAATTTATAAGAAAATACTGTAACTTTGGATATAGGTATGATATTTTTGCAGTATTTCCTGCTATCATCATCTTTCTTTTCACCTGTGATGACCCTTTGTCCCTACTTTGTCTCAACTATCTTCTGTCTGTAGTAACTAGATCTACAATAAACACAATCTAGCATCTTTTGAGAAGACCGAGGTACTGTTACAGGCGAATAGCTTTCGCGCATAAGCTATCGTTTGAAGCAACCTCACTGGTTTCCCCTGCTCGTTTGGGGTTTTTTCGTCATGTTGTTTCATGTCCTTATTCTTCTAACATGGCTGACAACAACTCCAGGTAATTCAGCTTCACATTTAAGTCATTTAAGGCAAATTAAACACTGAATTACTTGAACATCCAGAGAGTCATTTCCCAGCAAATATGAACAACAAGTCAACATTTTGTCTCTATTGAATCTAGATATTTAATTCTCTATCGAAAGTTGTGTCCTTATGAACTTAGCACTAAAGATTCATCGAATTATTGAGCTCTAAATAGCTCTGAATGAAGTCTGCAGACGACGACGGGTCATCTTTGCAGGTCAATATTAGTTCTGTCTGTTTGATAGTCCCTATCTGACTTAGCAAATCATGACATCCGTCTCAAGAGCTCTTCTTTTTTTATTCATGGCAAGTTTATTTTAGATTTAATGCCGAGGAACGAAAAACCGATTGGTTTCTAGCATGAACATAATGTGGTACCATATTCGCGTATCTGATATGATATGCGGTTTACTTTACAATTAGTTTAGGCATTTGAAGTATGGCAGCCATGTAGTCATCTATGTTATTGTAGACGAGGAAATAACTTAGTGTTATATAGCGTGATAAGTAATTAAAGAAATATTACTCAAGGGAATGTCACAAGAATTGCAAGCATTGTTTGAAAGCTTTATTGTACATCATCATTATCAGCGTCAGTATCATTCATCATCACCTTTATCATCATCATCATCACCATCATGATCATCAGTTTGCTCAAAGTTAGCCTCGATTTTGTGTATAATAATCACGTTTTTCTGTGAAGGTCCGTGGATTTTCAAATTGTTGAAATTGTGCATTCTTTACTTTACCGTTGGTATTTGTGAATATTTAGACACTAAAATGAGGCTAACCCTGTGTAAATGAGTCTTCAATCAACAGCAGTATTGTGATTTATTTTCGTACGAATTCTAAAACGTTGTATTTAAATTTTGAAAAATGTCCTCATTTTTTCTTGTAATGCTATCACAAAATATAAGATATCTGTTTTGTATCTTTTTTTTATTTTCTTTTTTAGTTCTTGTCAGTTCACTGGCGCAAACTGACCTCGATTACATGTCATCCTTCCTCAACGTACGCTATGACGTCATAGACAACTTCATCGACACTTGGCTCCAGTACAAAGCACGTGTCACGCTTTCCAACAAACGAACCATCGCCGTCACGAAAGGGAACTGGGCAATATACTTCTGCAGCATTCGCATCGTAGAGCCCGATCATTTACCACACAATCCCCAGGGGTATATAGTCCCTGGAGGTCCCGGGGTCAAGCTGACTCATATCAATGGGTGCCTTCATAAAATGGAACCTACGGACGACTTTGAGGACCTGGGTCCGGGCTCTGAAGTTAAGGTGGAATTTAAGGTGAAGTATTTTGCTGTTGCTAGGACGGATATTATGCCTAATTGGTATGTAGCTGCGAGTGGACTGGAACCTAGGACCATTAAGAACACAATAGGAGAGGGGCTGGAGTTTGTTGGCGATTTTAAGAGTGAGAAACAATGGAGGCGTTACACAGAAGACCAATACCATCCTTATTCACCTGAACAGCGATATGATAAGATTGATATCAAAGACTTAGGAGCCTCGCCTTTACTGCTGATACCGACGCCATTACACGTGTCTGGATGGAATAACACACAACGAATGAGTCTTGTGAAAACCACGTGGACAATGTCTGTTGGGAGTGGACTTAAAAATGAGGCCACATTCTTAGCAGGTTAGAAATATTATCCGATCTTTTGTGTCAAAGTCATTATTCATCTCACCAATTCGAGCCGTTATTTTAAGTACACCTTTTGCTGTTCATTAACCGCAAAGGAATATTCATTGAAACGAAAAAGCACTGTCATTAGAGCGAACAGGAATACAATAAGGCGAACGGAGTCTCAATCATGCGATGGAACGTTCATTAAGAAATTTAGCATTGAATTTGACAATCATGAATATGTTTGCGTGGGTTCATTAACGTTTTCAAACTTTCATTAGCGTTTTGGTGCACTCAATAAACCACAACACACATTCAATACAGCGTTTTGGACATTTATTTACGCAATACAATATAAGTTTATTTTCCACTAGGAATTTTAGGATTGTGCAGGTATTGGGTACCTTCACGACATGAAATTACTATTAACATATTTTCAACCAATCAAAGCCGGCACAGGACATTACTACTTAGCCAATCAAAATGCCCGTATACAGTTACGGCACGTCACGTGCATATCATGAGGTTTGAACAACAATGTAATGTTGGGCTACTCACTACTGATGAATGAATTTTTTTTTTCTTTCGCTAACAAGAAAACGTGAACGACACTAAACGAACACCATCCATGCCTGACCCTGTGAAGGACATCAAGCTAGAGCTGGGTGATCCCAACGTCACAATAGCTGGCAAGAAATCAACCAATCAGGAAGCGTATAGTCTTGACGTGGATGTTTCAAAGCTGACCATTAAAGTGGTTGGTTTGACTTCAACTGCGGTGTTTTATGGGATTCAGAGCCTGTTGGCGATGATCGACGAGAAAGGTTTGGAATTCTCTAGTCTCCATATCACAATGCAACTACAGATACAATGTGACTCATTTTCCTATTTCTTCTTGTCGACCTAGTTCATACCAATGTATTGCAGGGGCGGATCCAGGGGAGGGGTGCAGGGGGTGCGCACCTCTCCCTTGTTTGACTTTGTGCCCCTACTTCGAAGATAACCAATACTGTTTTTTCCCTTTGATTCTAAGGGGTGCACCCCTCCCTGGGTTAACTTTGTGAGCAGCATTGCTCCCTGAACAAAATCCTGGATCCGCCCCTGCATTGTGACTCCCAAAACGAGTTTTAAAACCCTTGAATAAAAGAAAAGAGTTCGAAGAGAATTCTGGTAGTACAGTAAAAACCTGCATATAAGAACCTAGGTTTTTTCAAGTTAGCCTAAACAGGTTCTTATATAAATGGTATTTTGTGTTAAATTAGGCTAACTAGGTTCTTAATTAGGTTCTTGACTTTTGTTCAAGAAATAAAATAAAGTTTCATTTTAAGTTGGATTTTTTTATTCAATGAGGACATGTTCTTTACAGTAACCATGTACAGTTATAGTGTTTATAGCATTATTGTGTACAGACTGTGTTATAAATATATTTTTGAAAAGATTGATTCTATTTCTTTCTTCTTTTTTAAAAATAAGAACCTGTTTTAGGATTTTAGCCTACAATGGTTCTTATGTGAAGGGTGCTTAAAAATGAAATTTTAGCCTAACAGGTTCTTAAATTTTAGGTTCTTATACGCGGGTTTTTACTGTAATGATGGTGAATCAATTTTATCAAATCATGACACGACTTGCGGGCTGAAGTACAGGGCACGGCTAGCAAAGTACAGGGCTCGGCTAGCAAAGTACAGGGCACGGCTAGCAAAGTACAGGGCATGGCTAGCAAAGTACAGGGCACGGCTAGCAAAGTACAGGGCACGGCTAGCACAGTACAGGGCACGGCTAGCAAAGTACAGGGCACGGCTAGCAAAGTACAGGGCACGGCTAGCAAAGTACAGGGCACGGCTAGCAAAGTACAGGGCACGGCTAGCTGACTTTATTTAACATGTAAGGCTTCGCAGTTGCAGGAAAATTGAAGAACCCGGAAGAAAACCTTTGAATCAAAATTCATTTAAAATATACTCCAGGTCATTTGTGTTGCCTCTTTGTTGGCCTCAGAAACTAGAAAAAAGCTTGCATCATAATTAAGGTCAACGTGAACCATTTAATTGCTTCCTTAGGAACGGTTCCCAAGGTGACCATCAAGGACGCCCCTAGAAACTAGAAAAAACTTACATCATAATTAAGGTTAACGTGAACCATTTGATTGCCTCCTTAGGAACGGTTCCCAAGGTAACCAGCAAGGACGCCCCTAGAAACTAGAAAAACTTACGTCATAATTAAGGTTAACGTGAACCATTTGATTGCGTCCTTAGGAACGGTTCCCAAGGTAACCATCAAGGACGTCCCTAGATACGAGTACAGGGGTATGCATCTAGATGTTGGTCGTAACTTCAAAAGCAAGAAGACGGTGTTGCGTTTCCTAGACATGCTAGCAGCCTATAAGTTTAATAAGTTCCACTTTCATCTGTGCGAGGACGAGGGATGGAGACTGGAAATACCTGGACTGGAAGAGCTAACACAGGCAAGTTACCATGGTTACCACGAGTTATCTCTTTATCTTTTATGATTTTTATCCAATTTTTAAATTTTTGAGCTCAAAAAAACCTCTTAGAAAGAAAGATTCTTGGTTAGAGTTTAAAATTACTATTTCAGTATGCGAAACATGAAAATTTCGCAACCATTCAATTTTGCAATTTTGCAAGTAATATATACAGTATGAGTGGCCGTGTTGTATCAGATATACAACCACGAGGTGTAGCCGAGTGATTGTATATCTGATACAACACGGACACGAATACTGTATATGACTTGTCAAACCTCTAGGTTAGTTCCTTTGTGTTTCACTAAAAGTTTCAAAATTAAAGTGAATTTGGCCAAGAAAATCTAACTTGAAGTTTATGCAAATGAGCACAGTTTTGTATCAGATTTACAACACTCTTCACGGCCGTGATTTCTGTTGTGTTTTCCTCATGAATTATTCATGAGTTTGATAAAAAGATATAATATTCCCCATCACAGTTCCCTGCGCCATCTTCAAAGCTTAAGGTAGTCGTGCCTTTGCATCGAAGCGAGACGAACGTTGAGCTTACAATGATAGAGACGTGAATATTTTTCCAAGTTGTTAAAAAAAGTTCTCTATCATTGCAAGCTCATCGTTATTTGTCTCGCTTCGGTACAAAAATACGGCTACAATTCAAGATGGCGCAGGGAACTGTGAAGGGGATTATTCTAATAGTACTCCATTCACGCCATAACTTAGTTAAACTGGTTTTTTCAAGCATTTATTTTCACAAGAATCAAACTGCCCTGAAACAGTTTCTTGTTCAACGTAAAGGACAGTTATGAGCATTTTTGCATCAAAGGTTGCAATGCGTTTGTTAATAGTTATCTAAACCCGTTTATTTAAACCTCTTTTAACCCTGTTTTAATTTCTATATACCTGTCTCTGCGTTGTCTCGATCAGCGCGTAGCAATGAAAACAGTATAAGAAGTGTTTTAGTTGGAAGGAAATCAGATTCCACGTCTTGGTTTCCTTAAACAATTTCTCTATTATTCCAGGTTGGATCTAAACGTTGTCACGATCTACAAGAAAGAAAGTGCCTCATTCCACAGCTTGGTTCACCCCCCGAAGGCACGACAACCCGGCAACACTACACTCAAAGTGAATACCAAGAGATCCTAAGACATGCAAAGAAGCTCCATATTGAAGTTATTCCAGAGTTTGACATGCCAGGCCACAGCCACGCGGCCATCAAATCAATGGAAGCTCGTTATCATCGCCTAAAGACAGTCAACGTAACAGACGCCGAGAAGTACCTTCTAACGGAGTTAGGAGACCCTTCTAGATACATGACCGTTCAATGGTTCACAGACGATGCTACCAACCCTTGTATTGAGTCGACTTACAATTTCGTTGAGCACGTAGTCGAGGAATTAGTACGCATGCACCAAAGTATACAACCGCTGAAGTTGTATCACTTCGGTGGCGACGAGGTCGCTAAGGGGGCGTGGACCAACTCAAGTGCGTGTAAAAAACTGGCTTCTCGCTTAGGGTATGATTTCAAAGCCAAAGATATTGTTGATAAACTCAAAGACTATTTTGTACAGCGGGTTGCTAATATAACGCAGGAAAAGGGACTGGGTCTAGCTGGCTGGGAAGACGGTCTACTTGGTCCGAACTACGTGCCATACAAGAGAGAGAACATCAAAAACGATAATGTGTATGGCTATGCGTGGAGAGGAGGAGGTCAAAGGACTCATAATTTGGCCAATGCTGGTTACAAGGTAGGTACATCTGGAGATGTATTGGTTAACTTTAGAAAAAAATTCAAACTACTAATTAAAGATTGAAATTAAAAACTAAAACGTTTGTCCTCGTTTGTCTTGTTTGAGTTGCTGCAAATAAGAAACGAATTGCTGCATGTTAGACGAGTTGCTGCAAATAAGAAACGAGTTGCTGCAAATAAGAAACGAATTGCTGCATG